TTGTCATTATGCCACTCTATCTGTCAAACACTTCGTAGAAATCTATTTAAATCCACGAAATTCATTAAGATTTATAATCTTTTAAAACCAATCAAAATCTTAGTTGAGAACATCCCGTTAATTTCTTAAATGTATATCTCTTATTTGGGGTGGGGTGTCGGGGGGGAGGGGGTTCAGTGATTTAGATTCCTTTATATCATTGTGTGTGTGTGTGTAAATGGAGAAGTTGAAATTGATTAGGATTAGGATTCTATATTCTCACGATATACTAATTAGTAAGACATTCTATCCAATCCTTATTTGACCAAGCATATAATGACTTGGTTGACTTAAAACTTGTGTAGTACTAATTTATGTATTCAAGTACATATAACTAATGTAAGGCTCATGCAAAATCTTTGCTGCAAGACAGAGAACACTAAGGGTGTCAACGAGTCGAGTTTGCTCGGACTCGACTCTAGTAAAAACATTTCGAGCTTTTTTTTACCCGAGTTGAGCCGAGTCGAGCAAAAGTCAGGCTGCGCCCGATCCGACTCGATTTTTTTTTTTTTTTTAATTCTTGACAAATATAAAATTTTCTTAAAGAATTTAAAATTTGTACAATTTATATGTATTATAAATAATAACTAAATATTAACATATAAAAAAATTACAGCTGTAAACTTTTTTTTTTTTTAGCTTCAAGGGCCGAAAATGGCTCGAGCCAAGGAGAAGTTGAAATTGATTAGGATTAGGATTAGGATTAGGATTCTATATTCTCACGATATACTAATTAGTAAGACATTCTATCCAATCCTTACTTGACCAAGCATATAATGACTTGGTTGACTTAAAACTTGTGTAGTACTAATTTATGTATTCAAGTACATATAACTAATGTAAGGCTCAAGCAAAATCTTTGCTGCAAGATAGAGAACACTAAGGGTGTCAACGAGTCGAGTCGAAATTTTTTGCTCGGGCTCGACTCTAGTAAAACATTTCGAGCTTTTTTTTACCCGAGTTGAGTTGAGTCGAGCAAAAAGTCAGGCTGCGCCCGATTCGACTCGATTTCTTTTTTTTTTTTAAATTCTTGACAAATCTAAAATTTTCTTAAAGAATTTTAAATTTGTACAATTTATACGTATTATAAATATTAACATATAAAAAAATTATAGTTAAAATGAAAAGAAAAAATAAAAAAAAATTTAAAAAAGAAGTAGCAGATAAATTTTTTTAGGCTCACGGGCTGGGCCGGCTCGAGTGACACCCCAGAATGGGCCAAGCCCGAGCCACTCGAGTCATTTTTCCATCCCTAGAGAACATTGTCAGAACTACACTTGAGAATTTGTGATTAATAACTAGTTGATTCGAAATCAAATACTGAACAATCCATTATGTAAGTGGTATGCTTGATATCCAATTAATTTTGGATATAAATATTTTTAATATATAATTGATGCATTTCATTTATGGCAGAGATATTATTTAATTTAATATTTTAATAAATTAAATAATAGAATCTGTAAATTTAAACCTTGATAATTTGTTAATTACAAGGAGTTGTGATTGTGAGATACAAACTACATATAACTGAATCTTAATTCATCAGTGGTCGTAAGTATTAACGAGATACAGATATCTTTATTGCGGATTGATCATCAAGCGTGACATTTTTTACTTGTGAAATAAGTTTCTGATCTCACAAGTTAAAGTATAGAGACGCTTAAATGAACACATGGATGTTTTGTTATAGAACAAAATATTGGAGACTCTTTGGGGATATTTTACACGGATAACTATTTGAGTGTCAATAATTAATTTTTAATATTCGGTAGTGGAATTGACTCTTCGACTTGAGGTCATTATAGTATCTTATATGATGATAGTTATACTTTGGTGATATTGGATGTTGCTCGATTAAGGGTTGCTAATACGGTATCGTTCATGTATGTTAAGAATCATATGAATGTTGTAAATGATTAATAGATGATTCGTCACTTTTAGATAATAAGAGATTGTGATCTATATTTCATTCAATTAAGTTGATAACGAAATCATTGACCAATGTATACTCATAAGTAGAAAAGAGTTTTCTATTTATATTTACTTAATAGTGAGATGAAATATATGATCGATAATTGAAATTGACACACATCCATATATCGTAGTTGATTGAATCATATTAACGAAAAGATTATAATTTCACGGTAAGTGAACAATTTTGATTTTGTCATACCACGTGATATTTTTCATCACATGTATTACCCGACACACTGTTAGTGGCAATCTGGGATGACAGATGTGAAGTGATGATAAATTAAAATGGGGTATGTTAATTTATCGATTTTAATTAAATTAAAATAATAATTCATGCCATTATGTATCGTGATCGGGAACCAATAGGTCACGCACGAAAGGAGAATTAGAAGAATGAGATTCATCAATCAATTAATTAACAAGGATTAGACAATTAATTAATTGAATTGCTTGTTAATATGCCCGATCTAATTAATTGGATTAATTAATTCATGAACCAAATTTAATTAATTAGATTAATAAAATATTGGATCATGTTAAATTTAATAGACGGGCAAGCCCACTGAACTTATATTAATAAGCTATTAGCGGTTCAGAAATAACAGAACACTATTCATTATCTTCCGAGCACAAGAAAAGAGAAACCGCAATTCTCTCATTCTTGTTCCTTGTGTGGATTTTCATTGGATGCTAAAATTGGACAGTTGTGAATTGCAGATGATAATTGTTCGTATTTCAAGATCAGCAAAGGAGTTTACAAAATCTATGAAATGTATAATTCATATCACAATTTTTTCTAACCATGAAGAAGATTTTTGGTGGGAATTAAAATTAAGTAAATTCCTAACAAAAACTTTTTTCAACGATTTTAATTTAACCATATAGTTCATGGACTCACAACTTTTATTAATTTCTCAACTATACATTTCATTAAGTTTTATCAAAATTTGCTAAAATATTTATCAAAGCTTTCTTATATAAGCCCTAGATAAAAATACCCGACAACAAGGGGATTAAGTCGAGCTGACTCAATTCTTAGAGACGAGATGAGCCCGAACTCGCTCGTATCAACAAACTATCAGTTCTTTTGGTTCATGGGCCTCCTGTGGCTCTACCTTTGACGAAGTTGTCTATGATAGTTCCACGGTGCTACCTACATTAGAAGTATACTGTGATATTACTTCTTAAAAAATTGAAACTACCGATATTCCTCCCACATAACAAAGCCACAATGATGTCAATGTCCGGTCTCCATTTCTATATGGAATAAGTGAGCCCGTGGCTCCATAAAACCTAGTAGCTCTCAATCAAGACAAATTCAATGGATCAATTTCTTTGTCAAGATTAGTATCTGTTACGCCTGGATTCACAAGGCCCCAAATATCCTACGAGGCGAGCAAAGATGTGGCCCCACACCACCCCGGAATATATTAACACAAGGCTGATCTAATTGAACCTCTTCATGTGGCTTTAGGGACTATTGTTACGCCTCGATTCACAGGACTCCAACTATCCTACGTAGTGAGCAAAGATGGGGCTTCACGCCACCCCAGAATTTATTAACACAAGGTTGATCTAATCGAACCCCTTCTTGTAGCCGAACCAATATGCTTGCCGACCCCACTAAACCACACTAACCCTCATGGGAAAAACTGGCCCGTGAGTGGAGACGAGGCCACAAAAGGAGCTCAACATGAGATCTCCAAGAAATGTTTTTGACATACGATTGACATGACAATTTACTATCATCGTTGCCACTACCGCCTATCTAGTTAAGTCCAAAGCCACAAGTTAGGCATTATTGATGCTAAAGTGATACTAACATTTAATGCTCATAATTGATTGATATCTAAGATTAAAGGTGTCAGCAGCACGGATGAAGCCACATGTCTTTCCATTCAATAACCCTAATTTCATCTTCTTATAGTATAAAAACTCACCCTTATTGCCATTTGAAGGTAATATAAATTTAGACTCTCAAACTATAACTTTATCATATTATTGTTTTATTTGTGACTACCCAAAGCCGACCTCATTTTTACATTGGAGGCTCATGTCTAAAGCTCTTTCATACTCATATATTTACTTCCTCAACTGACTTGACCGTTGGAGTGCACTCGGCCAACTCTACCCTCCCTCCTGGAGAAAGCCATGTATGACTAACGATTTTTCCAAGTGAGCAGGAACGAGATTTGCATGGACGTGAGAGGCCTCGTGGGATCTGTTGGCCACGATGGGGTGCATTTTTTGGAGTCAACAGTATCCGTGTTAAACGAAAAGTTGGAGATATTGTGTTTGACTAGCATCATCATCATTCATCTCCATATCAACTATTCAGTGCCTATCCCTACGGGAGGCAAGAGGGGGACGACCATCCCAGCAACATTCCTCGCCATCTTGTTGAATGTCCGGAGTATTAAGATTATGTTTGTAAACAAAAGTTCTTATAAATGGAGGCTCCAAGCAAAACATTGCCTATGCCATAGAGTTTAATGCATTAACTTGCACAATAGGGAAACTTACGAAACTCCTAAAAGTGTGTGTGATACCACGATTTCACCTTGGAATACGATATTAAAAGAAAAAAAAAGTGTCATTCTTGTGACCCTAATAATTAGACAATTAGAAGGCCAAAACTTATCTTTGTCATTTTAACAAATAATAATGTTTCATATAAGTACAGAATAACATGGAACACCCTAATGTTTGACAATATAAAAATTATCCCACCAAATTGTCTTTTAATTTCGTGGAGCTTTATAACAAATTGCACAATATAATTACAAGTACATTTGAGTAGAACTCAAAGAAAAACATAGAACAACAAGACACGGAATTTTCCAAACACCAATGAGAGGCATCAAAACTAGTATTCGATGTACAGAAATAAAATATGAAAGTATTCAACAAAAGGGGTTCGTACCATGCAATATGCATGAAAGAAAAACGAAATTGAATTTTAAATATCAGCAAACTGTCATTGTTTAGAACTCCATGTACTTCAAAACACAGGGGAGTTCAAGCCGATGCTGTTTTAAGTGCACCAAGTTGTCGGGTGTACTCATTGTACCGGTTTCTACATTATAGTAGAGGAGAGCTCGGCCTCCTGATGGTATAAAAACAAGCTTTTCAACATGGCCCACCAATACACTTGTTAGTGGCACAATGGCGTAGCGTATGGATGAAAGATTGATGTAATATTCTGAAACCCAAACACAATTTTTTGGGTCCTCCAGCCTCCACATTTCCACGATTGCTTTTTCCGACGAACAATGTGCCAAATATAAACACTCCTTTAACTCTAGCAAGTATGCACGGGTAGAAGGACTGAGCTCTGGGCATGAAATGATTTCTGATTCTTCCTTATCCAAATCCGTGGCAAGAATCGAATCCATTTGATAAAAATTCGGATGGTTTTGCGTATACATCAGCCAATAAATCACTCCATTAACTGACGCAGGATTTCCGCTGAGGTCTTCAAAAGGGCGTGTTTCAGTTAATCTCCACGAATCTGATTTGAATGTGAGACGATCAGATAGGCTGAAAATTTTGCACCCCATACTTATGCCCTCGGCGTCCTGCATAAACCACTTAACCACTTTGTATTCGTTTGAAAGTGATGAGTAGCCAAAACCTACATCACCATAATCAACAGTATCCGGCACCACTGCTGTTTCTTGGGTGCTTAGATTATGGATAGAAATCATACTCCCAACAAAACATATAAAATTATGACAGGAAACCAAGTAATAGAAATTAGAATACCCATAAGGGAGATAGTGATTTTCCTGAATCCTTTCATTAGCTATGTCCACAATGGACAAGCGAAGAGTGAGTCTATCGTCATCAAAATACTTGTTAAAATCCCAAATATATAAATAAGGGTTTGGATGAAGACGGTGACGCAAATCTTTGACGAGACCAGGATCTGGAGAAGAAATCAAGCTATGCCATTCTTTGGAAACACAGGTGAACCTGCAAAGGGACTTGTAAGGGAGTCTTGATAGAACTTCTACTAATATTTCGACTGGTAATTCATTCATTCTCGTCCTTGTCTTCTCTACACGATATTTTCTTAAATTTATCTGTCTTCGTTCTGTGATTGAAATTCCTTTATATCATCATAGTGCATATATATAATCGAGAAGCTGAAATAGGTTAGGATTCTATACTCTTCACGATATACTAGAGTAAGAAATTCTATCCAACCTTATTTGACCAAGCATATCGTGAGTTGGCTGACTTAAAACTTGTGCAGTACCAATTTATGTGTACTTCTAGTTGATTCGAAATCAAATACCGAACAATCCATCATTTTGAGAACTTTTAATAATATTTTATTTTATTTAAAACAAGAGCCAACAGGGAATCCTAATGCTTAGTTATCACGTTGTCCAATAAAATTCTGTATTTGATTGACATGCAAAATATCTCATAGAAAAGAAAATGTTTTTTTTGTTGTGAGGAAAACAAAAATCTAATCCCCTCAAAGAAAATGTTTTTCTTTAAAAAAAAGGAAAATTAAGCTTATTTTCAGAAGTTGGAAACTATTTTCAATGTAAAAAAATAGCAATAAATATTCCAAAGTAGAAATTTAGGTAACATTTTTCATGGAAAATAAATGAAATCAAACACACCGTAAGTTTTATCAACTTTTTAACTAGTCAGATTTTAATTTAACCATACAGTTCATAGACCCAAAACTTTTATTATCGGATTTTAAAATCACAAAACATAGAGAAAATTCTTTTAATATCAACAGTCATATATATATATATATGTGTGTGTGTGTGTGTGTGTGTGTGTGTGTGTGTGTTAAAGATAAACGAAATAATTCATTATCAATATAGCAAACTATCATCATTTAGAACTCCTTGTACTTCAAAAAAAAGGGGAATCCAAAATGTAGCATTGTGAAGTGCACTAAGATGTCAGGTTTTCTCATCGTACCAGTTTCTACATTATAATAGAAGATAGCTTCTGATGACATGAAAACAAGCTTTTCAACATGACCCACAAATGCACTTGTTAGTGGCACAATGGTGCTACATATGGATGGAAAATTGATGTAATACTCTGAAACCCAAACACAATTTTTTGGGTCCTCAAGCCTCCACATTTTCACAATTGCTTTTTCAGTCCAACAGTGTGCCAAACATAAACACTCCTTTAACTCTAGCATGGTAAATGGAATGAGCTTTGGGCATGAAATGGTTTTTGATTCTTCCTCGTCCAAATCCAAGGCAAGAATAGAATCAGTATCCAAAGGATTCTCATTATTTAGGTTGAATATCAGCCCATAAATCACTCCATTAACTGACATTGGATTTCTGCTAAGGTATTCAAGAGGACGTGTTTCAGCTTATCTCCATGAATCTGATTTGAATCTCAGACGATTGGATAGACAGAAAATTTCGCACCCCATACTTATCCTGTCATCATTCTTCTGCCCAAACCACTGAACCACTTTGTACTCGTTTGCAAGGGATCAGTACCCAAAACCAACATTACCAATATGACCAGAATCCGGAAGATTTGTCGCTTCATGAATGCTTAGATTACAGATGGAAATTGTTGACCCCAAAAAATGAACTCAATAGATGCCGGACCCACTCCCGCCACGTCAAGTGAGATTCCGATGCGTTCTTACCAGACTAGAGTGGTATTCTGGTTGGGATGGACGCGGGAGGCACTTTCTGGCAAGAGACGAAGATGTTCAGGCGCCTACGGTTTCTTGGGTTATGACAACAATCGCGCTATCAACGAATGCCCGGACCGATTTCTCACAATACGTCTCTCTTTTGTAATGGAATATGTGGAAGGATAGATATGTAAATAAGGAGTTTTATGTTGGAGTCTTAACGTATTTGCTTATTGTGTATATGAAAGCTTCCAAGAACAAGACATGTAAATCTTCTTTGATTCGTTTCCTTCATGAAAATGTAGATACTGTCCATATTAGATCCTAAGATTACACAAATGCCAACCACCCCCTTTTCATACAAATTGAGGCTATTTATACTACTCTGACCGACGTGGTGACTGCTGGATCAAAACCACATGGCAAAATCTCCTATGCGAAAACCTCACATCATTGTCCCCTCTATACAATTAATGTTTGACAAAAGGTTTGCCGCTCTATTCGTAGGCTGACACACTAACATTTTGACATACTTTATTGCAAATATCACATCAATCACTTCCATAAGATCTCCAAATTTGTCACCATGAACAACATAAACTTCAGCGTGGGTCGGGTCGGTTTTTATTCAAGGATCTCTGGTGTACTGGACCTCAGGCAACTTAAAAGAAACTCCACTCCAGGCCTAGGATCTTCGGTGTTTTCGGACTTCGGTGAGCCTCTGCTCCTCTCTTCTTTTGAACTTCGAGCTGGCATCCTGCCCTATGTGGACCTGTTGCTTACGAGGTCATCGGCGTGGCATTGCTTGCGTGGCATCTGAGCTGGGACCTCGGATATGGGAGGGATAACATAAATTATTCTCCCAACAATACATACAAGATTGTGACAGGAAACCATGTAACGAAACTTCTTTGGAATAGGGAGATTGTAATTGTCCTGAATCCTTCCATTAACTATGTCCACAATGGAAACGTGAAGGGTGCCTATAACCCTGACCAAAATACCTGTCGAAAGGACTACAATTCCAAAGACATAAATAAGGGTTCGGACGAAGATGTTGGTGATGCAAATCTTTGACGAAACCAGGATCAGGCGAAGATATCAAGCTATGGCATTCTTTGGAAACACATATGAACCTGCAAAGAGACTTGTAAGGAAGTCTTGATAGAATTTGTATTAATATGTCATTTGGTAATTCATTCATTCTATCCCTTGTCTTCTCTAGCTACGCGTCATTGTTCCATCATTAAACAGTTCTGTGGGGATTCTTTCTATATAGAATCAGTTTGCCAGTGGCGCCACACAACCGGTTGTATCTCTCTACCAAGACAAATCCAATTGATCAGTTTCTCTATCATTATTAGTGTTCATGTTAAATAGAAAGTTGGAGATATTGTATCTGACTAGTATCATTATCTTCATATCGTCGTCTATATTATTTAAGAATATAGACTAAAAAGTTTGGAATTGTCATAGACAACACCAATAGAGGCGGAGTCACTGGAGGCAGGGAGGGGAGACTGTCCCAGCAACATTCCTCCCCGTCCCGATAACATTTTTAAAGTTTTCTAGGATATTTTTTTAATATGAAAACCATATTAAATTCCAAAGCTTGAGCATTTTTATAGGCAAATTGTATATCCTAGTAGCAAAGGATTTGCTTTGTGGCTACAAACAACTTATAGGTTGTGTTTGATACAAAACTTTTTCCTTGGAAACTTTTCCATTTTCATGCAAGAAGTGTTTGATGGGAGAAATTTGGCAAAGAAATTTTTTTTTACCCCACGCATCCTCTTTCCTTGTTTTTAGGGAAAAACTTTTCCCACCACCCCTTTTTTTGCAATGAAAACAAATTTCATAACTAGTTATAAAAAAAATTTCACTTAACAATTTTCATGTAAAACAAAACCAAACGAATACTAAACTTTGATGAAAAAAATGATTTTTTTGGAATTTTTTTTTAACTTTTTGGCAATGGAAACAAATTTTATAATCAATTGTGAAAAAAATATCATTTTAATAGACAATTTCTATGTAAAACTAAGACAAACGAACACAAANATCATTTTAATAGACAATTTCTATGTAAAACTAAGACAAACGAACACAAAATTTAAAAATTTTTCACCCAAAAAATTATACCAACCAAACATGCTTAATTAACAATTCCCTACAAAACATTTTCTAGGCAATTATTTTTCCTGAAATTTATTTTCTTTCCACCCATTTTCCATCATTGCAATCAAATGGACCCTTAGATTATTAAAAATTATATATAATAAACTTGTATTTCTATTTAAAAAGTAAAAGACCTTATGTATAAGATTATAAATAACTTTAAAAGGAAAGATTGTGTAATAATCACATAATCAACTATTAAGAAAAATTATCTTATACAATTGGAAAAATATTATAAAGATTACTTGTTACAATCTTTCCACATCTTCAACACCCTCCCTCAAACTCAATATGGTGTAGTCACAATAGTTGAGTTTAAAAATTAAATTAATCCAATCAAATTTTCTTCTTCTAATGATCGAATGATACTTTAAAATTGCTTACATGCCAACCAAGCTAAACAAAGAACTCAAAGTTGGTAAGAATGAAAAATCATATCCAAAATCTAATCAAACAATCACCAAGACTTTGAGAAACTCACAAGTATAACGAACAAGGTCAAAACAAGAACCTCAAATGGTTTTAATAACTGATAGGCAAAGACAGACCACATTTAATAGTAACACACTGAAAATTCATAAGTTGTATCAGTACTACACTTGTAGATGAAGGAAATACCGATAAAACAGGAACTTTGGCCCACGCGGAGGCTAAAACAACAGATGTGATGGAATAAATTCAATGAAAAACCAACAAGAATAGCCAATATCTAACAGGATTTGAATTGATATAAAGTCCAAATTCAGAATAAATCAAGAACAAAAAAGGACTGATAGAAGTGGATATTTAATCAAAATAAGAAAACTTAACCAACGAGGCCGCTCGTTGGAGAACAAAAGCCGACAAATTTAACCCAAAATGAAGTTAAACCTGCTCTAATACGTTGTTAGAATATTATAAATTGTATATAATAAACTTGTGTTTCAATTGCAATGTAGAATACCCTATTTATAACGTAATAAATAACTTTAAAAAGAAAGATTGGGAGATAATCACACAATCAACTATTGAGGAAAATTATCCCACACAAGTTGGAAAATATCATATAGATTATTCTTTACAATCGTTCCATATCTTCAACAAAAACATTGGTTCGAATTTCATCACCAACATTGAAACATTTCACAATTCAAACAATTTTTATGATTCAATGTTTTTCTTCTGCTATCCTAAACAATGCTTTCTCCTCTTAAATCAATTCACAATTTTCGTACGTAGTCACAA